TGTTCGCCCCTCACGACCCCCCCGCCGGCCTGGTTGCCCCATGCAGCCTGCTGTTCAGTCGTTTGGTCATTCCTCACTAACCCTCATGCCAACCTGGTCGCCCCACGCAGCCTGCTGTTGTTTCATTGTCCCTCACTAACCCGCCAGCCTGGTCGCCCCACACAGCCTGCTTATTCAGTTGTTTGGTGGTCCCTCACTAACCCCCATGCCAGCCTGGTTGTAGGCAGCCATCTTGTGAGGGTGTGAGAGTTAATTTGTATATTACCTCTTCATTTTATAGGATTTAAGGAAGAAACACCATCAATTTTAAACTACAGCATATCCTTAAATAACAGCATTTCATTTAACCATTTCCTTATCGTGTTAACAAGATGCTGTAAAAATTTAATTTTGTTTATATCAGTTAGCCTATTGTAAAATTGGTTTTGTTATAGTTTTTTTGCTTAAAGTCACAAAACCTATTGATGATTTTAAGAGGACTTACTGTATTCCAAAGAATAAAAAAGAGGGAATATTCTTCAGTTCATTTTATGAGACTAGATACTAAAATCTAGTATTACTGTGATAATTTTACAGAAATGGAAAATTATAGTCCACTTTTATCCATGAAATAAATGCAGATATTCCAAACAAGATACTAGTAAACCAAGATCAGCAATCCATAGAAGTTGAGTTTGTCCCAGGAATACTGGTTCAAAAACAAAAAATTAATGTAATTTGCCAAGAGAAGAATAATCAGTTTACAATAAATACAGGAAAAAGAGCATCTACAAAAACCCTAAAACAAATCTGATGGTGAAATATTGGGAATATTTCATTGAGATACAAAATAAAGCAATGCTTGCTGTCACCACTTCTAACATTGTACCAGATATCTTGCCTTATGCAACAATGCAAAAAAAATTTTAAATTAAAAAGGATTCAAAAAGAAGGAACAATACATATTACTATTTTGGGATGATTCAGTGTATGTATGTAGGAAATCCAAAGGCATTTACAGTTAAATTATTAGGATTAATAAGATTTTAGCAAGATTGCCATATTCAAATGTATAAGTAATCATATGTGTTACTATATATCAGATATAAACAATTAGTAAATGAAATTTTTAAGAATTCCAATAGCACCAACTAAATAAGGTACCTAGAAATACATTTAATAAGACATGTAGTGACTGAAGAAATTGACAAAACTTAGATATTAAAGAAAAAAAATGGAGAAAGTGTGTTTATGGTTTGGACAACGTAGTATTATAAAATGTTTTTACTTCTGTTTAATTTATAGAGTACCATTTCGATCAGTTTTTCAGCGTGTAATTTTGTGGAATTTGACAAGCTGATTTGATTCTAAAATGTATATGTAAATGCAATAGGTTAAGAGGCCAAGATATCCTTTAAGTAGAGAACAAAATGGAAGGAATTGCCATCAGATGTCAGAACATTACAAAACTGCTGTAATTAGGATATTGTTATATTGGTAAGTATAGGATAATGTGATATTGCCAAGTAGAGTAGTGCAGCAGAGTCCAGAAACCTATCATATACATGTATGTATGTGATGGCGATTATTTGGCAGATCATTTGGGAAATGATTGTCTTTCAGTAAATGGTGTTGTTAATTTGCTATTCATGTTGGGTGAAATATAAAGGAATGTCTTCATGAACTTCAAATAAGATTTCTTAAGACACAAGTACCCTTGGTGCATAAAAGTAAATTATCAATTTTACCATTTTAAAATTAGAAACTTCTTTTATTCAAAAGGCACGATAAAGATAATGAGAAGACAAACCATCAAGTAAAAGATGCTACTCATAGCACATATAACCTGTATAGGATTAGTACTCACGAGATATATATATATATATAACTTCAACATATCAATGAGTAAAACCAGATAATACACAAGGAAAAATGGACAAAAGTCTTATACATCTACTTCACAAAGAGGAATTCCAGATGGACAGTAAACATATGAAAGATGCTCTCTTCATTGGTAATTTGGGGAAATAGAAATTGAAAACATATTTTGATACCATTTCCTTTCAGGTGAGCAAAGGTAAAACACTTTAAAATCTAACAATACCAGATTTAGGTGAGATTTTGAAATAAAAGGAATTGGTTTTATTTAATACTAGAGGCCTGGTATACGAATTCATGCACCAGTGGGGTCCCTCGTCTTGGCCTGCGGGATCGGGCCGAAACCAGCTCTCTGACATTCCCTGAGGGTTCCCAGATTGTGAGAGGGTGCAGGCCAGGCCAAGGGACCCACCAGTGCACGATTGGGGCCGGGGAGGGATGTGGGAAATTAGCCAGCCGGGGAGGGACCATGGGAGGGTTTCAGGTGTGTCTCACTCAGTCCTGATTGGCCAGACTCCAGCAGCAAGCTAACCTACCAGTCGGAGTGTCTACCCTCTGGTGGTCAGTATACGTCATAGAGATTGGTCGACTGGTCGACTGTCCCCTGGTGATCAGTGCACGTCATAGTGAGCTGTTGAGCAGCCTTAGCATATCGTTAGCATGTTACGCTTTGATCGGATGACCGGATACTTAGCATATTAGGCTTTTATTATATAGGATTCTAGCAGTTCCATCACTTGATATGTACCTTAGTTAGGGACATGTACACATATGCAATAGGATCCACACACACACACACACACACACACACACACACACACACTAATGTTTATTAGCAGCATTTTCAATAATAGTTAAAAGCTGGAAGGGAAAAAATGTCCATCACATTCTAAAAGAAAAATAAATTGCAGTAAGTTATGTAGTGGGATTCTGTATATTATAAAAATGAAAGAACTGCAGTCACATGCAACAGTATAAGTTTCTCCCACAAAACATTATTGAAAAGCAGGCATGAAAGAATAATATGATTTCATTCAAATGAAATTCAAAAATAGCCAGGGAAATATACATATCACTTAGGGATCCAGAGAATAAAACAAGAAAATCAATATCAGAAATGCTATTTTTGGAGGAGATTTTGATACAAGCATACAGATTTCTGAAGTGCTGATAATTTCAAATGTATTTACCTGAGTGGTGGCTATGTGGGTGCTAGTTTTATTTATTAAACTGAACATGTTCTTTAAAAAAAACCGTTTTTATTTGATATTAGAGAAGAAGGGAGAGGGATAGATAGAAACATTGATGAGAGAGAAACATCGATTGGCTGTCCCCTGCATAGACTCCCTATTAGGAATCTAGCTTACAACTCAGGCATGTGCCCTGACCAGGAATCAATCAAGTGACCTTCTTTTTTTTATTTAAGAATTTTTGTGAGTTTGAGCCAAATGGGCGACAATTGCCAGGAAGCAATATCTCAATGGATTGGGATAATGCTCCATAGAATGGTGTCCTCTCATCTATATTTATAGATTGCAAAGGAAGGGACATAGGTAGGTTACATGAAATCTATTGGTG